TTGACTTGTTTTTAATTAATTTAGGAGGATTTTTAATGGATTTTTATGAAATAAGTAAATGATATTTCAAAAAATTATAAACATTATTGCCCAAATTAAATTAATCTTGATTTATTTTAAATGAATTGAAGTAAATCTTACCTTAATTTGATTTAGATTTAAATAAATTGAATTAAATAAATTTTTTTTTAAATAAAATATATCCGAATCGGGTCGGGTTCGGGTTCGGAAAACCGACCCGTTTGCAAAAATGGGTCGGGTTCAGGTCGGGTTGAACAGTGTCGGATCAATTTCGGGTTGGACCCAAACCCGACCCGTGACCCGGTTTTGACAGCCCTAGTTTGGACGCGAGCGCGTGTGGACGAAGGGGGAGCGTTTACGGACAAAGGGGGCACGAGCGGACGATGAGGCGAGTGTGTGCAAGCGGGCGATGAGGCGAGTGTGTGCAAGCGAGCGCGGGTGCCGACGTGGGAGCGAGCGCTGTAGGCTCATGTCGGAGTATGGGTGCAAGCGCAGGACAACGGGATCACTGCAGACCAGGGGTGACTCGAGTCATTTCCAAGTTGATTTCAGGTTTTTGGGGCAACCTGAACACGATCCGTTTTTAGAAATGGGTCAGAAAACGAACCCTAACCTGACTTGTTTGGCAAACATGTTGACCTGAAACCGGAATTTTTCGAGTCAGATTCGGGTGGGGTTTCGGGTCGGTTCACGTTAAACCACTAATTAAATTCCTTCAATTTTAGTTGTTTTGACTGGAAGAAAGGCTGGTTAGCACTTCATATTTTTCTTCATTTCTTAAAAAATTAGCACTTTCTCTCGAGCTAATCTTGTTTTACATAACAAAATGGTAATTGTGTTATACTTTATTTTTTTTTTCAATGATTTGTTTTTTAATTGTTCAAGCAGTTTTAGGCTTTGTTTGGTTCCTCTACCCCTTTTATATAAGTTATTGTAAAAGCAGTTTTTTGAGAAAATGGGGTTTCAAAAAAAGTTGTTTAAATAAATTGATGATTGTTTGATTAGATTGACATAATTATGCAAACTTAAAAATATATTTAAATTGCTTGGTTGTGTTATAAGCTGTAGCATTTTAATCATAAAAGGCTAAATTGTCCTTTTATTAAAAGTAAGTATATAGGAGAGAAATCTACCCAGAATAGCAGCGAATCTGACATGGCAATGAAGTATGTCATTGCTCGACTCGCAAGCAACCTTCGACATCATTATGCTCGGAGCACTTTCCTTTTCAATTCTCACGCCACCAGTTTTGGTGATTAATCTCTTTGTCCATTAATGTCTCTTCTCTCTATTTTTGTAGATAATTCTAGCTTCTATTTTGGATTACTGCACAGAGAATACTGCATTTGTTCTAATTGATAGTTTTCGGGATAGTGCTGGCTGCTTCAGCTATTACAATTATGAATTTGGTATTTTTTTATTATTGCTTTTATTTTACCGGTAACAACTACAACAAATATGAATTGTATTTCTGAAAATAACCCTAGGGGATAGAATCACTGAAAAGAAATGTAAATGGATATTACTTGCCTTTTATACAGAAAAATGCTTGGAATAAGTTAATATCATAAAAAAAGATGCGTGATTGTTTGTTTGGGGGGTATTTTCAACTATTTTCTTTCCAAACAGAGGTTCTGAATGAATAAGCAACAATCAAAAACCTTTCGTAATCGGTAAATAAATGCAATTTAGGAAAAAGAGTTTTACAAAAGCCGTGATTCTAAATAGATGACGTCAAATGTCTTTTTTTTGTTTTCAATTGGATATCGCTGTAATTGAGCCGTAGCAAACGAGGCCTTAATCTCATCGTGTTTCTTGTCCCTCTTTTTTCTCTCCATTTCATAACCCTCCAAACCCCTGTTTTTTTTTTTTCAACACCCTTCCCTTCTCATTTCGTATCCTATATCTAAGGGTAAAGCCACTCATCCACCTAAGCATCCTCTTCTTTGCAATACTTAACTTAGTATTATGCTTCTCTTTTAAAGGCCAACATTCATGTAGCCGACCTCACGTAGTGGGACAAAGGCTTGATGTTGTTGTTGTTATTGTTGTTGTTGTACCCTTCCCTTCTTTCTTTCTTCCTTTCACTTTCTAAGTGCCAAGGAAAGATTGGTGGAGATGAAGTGCCACTTGTATAAACATACAGAGACATGATCGTATGCTTAGAGAGTTAGTTGAGGTGGAGGTTCACAAACATAAACTTAAAAAAATTTTTGGAGGTGGAAATGCCTCAACCCTTAGAGAGTTGGTGAAAGTGAAGGTATTACAATCATGAACTTAGAGAGTTGGTGGAGGTGGAAGTGCCACAATCATAGGCTTGGAAAGTTTGTGGATTTGGAGTTTTCATAAGCATAGTCTTAGAGAGTTGGTGTTGGTGGAGTTGTCAATGCTGTAAAGTTGAGAGTTATGGATGTGTATGTGACACAATCACAAGTCTGGAGAGTTGGTGAAGGCAGAGGTTGAAATGGTGAAGAGTTAGTGGAGGTGGAGGTTTTTTGAAAAATTTGTTGATAGCAATCACGTAAAAATTTCAGCATATGAGTGAAATGAACAAAAAAAAAAAAAGAGAGGTGTATAAATAAACAACAAAATATGTGAGGGAGCGCTATAAATAAAATCAAGAAGGCAAATCATACACAAAGAAATCAAGATTTATAGTGGTAAGACTTCACCTTAAGCTTACATTCACTTAGCAAGCCCCCATTTGGAAATTCCACTAATAACCTTCATTAATTGTGATGGTGAAAGTTTTTATAAGATTCACCTGCATTTTCTCAGGATCAAGTGCATCCCCGATACGTGGTGTTTTATATGAGCTTAAGATCAAGGTTTTTATGTTAGGCTTCAGTACAGCACGTAGACTAGGTGATTCTCATTTGCTCAAGACCAACCCTCACACTAAAAGTATGCTTTAATAAGATGCTAGAACACTCTAAGAAGACACACATAAGATAAGAACCAAAACTATATATGGAAAATTACATGTTTGCCATCAAAATTTTAAATATTTATAAAAGTACAACTCAATTACTTATATTTGCAATAATACCCCAAATAATGAATGCGATAAAATATCAATTATTCGTTCTCCATAAATTGTTAAATTTCTAATTATTTTTTTTATCTGGTTCTATCACATGTAATTACATAGGTTTGTTTGTTCCTTTTAAATAATTGGTGGTTATTTATAAATAAGAGATTTTCTGGTTCACATAATATCCCAAATAAATAATATTTGTGGAGCACTTAGCAATATCTAAATATGAACGAATAAACAAAATATTAATTTAGTGTTACTATATGAAAGATAAGAAATAATAAACTGAGGATAAAAAATAGGCATTCAAAATCTTTGGCCACCTAAGAGTTACCTCATACAAGGTTTAGCAAGTAGAAGCTTGAGTGGCTAAAAGAGAACTTGAGAAAAGGAAGCTAGCATGTAAGAGGAAATTCATCGCCATTGGCAAAATTCCTTCAATTGCTACAATTTAATTATAGAATCAAGGCAACCCATCTGGAGCAAAATTTTAATGGTGTGGATTTCAAACGAATTATTTAATGTTTAACTCATTCTCTAAGCAAACAATGAGAAATCTCCTCAAATGTCGCAATTTTCTTATGATGGTCATTGCCCATTAGACTGAAAATCTGATGAAATTTTGTGGAAAAAAAAAGAAGACTATGGGATCTAAAAGCAAATGTATAGTGTCAACAGTTTATTTTAGGTTGAAATCCATTGATAAAAAATTAAGTAGTAAACTTTTGTTTTTTGACCAATTGGCTGGGAGCCTCAACTGAGCCAGTTAGTTGATTTTGAGGTGAAATTTTCCCCCAATGAGTGTAGTTGGATGTTGGGGGATTCTGGTTTGAGAAATTGGACAATTGTAAGTGGGAGAGAGTAATTTAGATTTGAGGCTCAAGTTTCACTTTCATGGAAGGTTTGGCATCTGTGAGATGATTGTATTATCTGTTTAGGATTGGTATTTCAGCTGTGCACAACACTTCTTTTTTAATGTTCATAGTCCACAGTTGAAATGGCTTGTTTGACAACTTTTGGTTTAAGTTGTTCTGGTAGGAGATTATCAAATTAGCCTGACAGAAGCATATGTTATTCATAATTTACTATTACGTATTGTTATGCGCATATGATCCTCCTTTATATTTGTGAATATAAAAGCATGTTTGTAAATTATCATTTTTTATGTTAATTACTTAAATTCATATCCTTAAGAAGTTTTATTTTTTAAAAATTACTTATAAATTTGTGTTCCATTCTCATGGATGCTGGCAATTGCAATTCATCATATCATTGAAGATCTTCTTCGATTATGCTAGGCATTCCACCAATCCCCACGAGCGTCTTGCATGCTCTCCAGTTTATCATATCATATACCTTACTTTCCCTTGTTTTTTTTTTCAACATAGTTCTAACTGGATATTGCTCAGATTTGATTTTTCGAGTCATACATACCTTTGGTAGTTCTACACTATATATGAATCCTTTAAAAATATAGTCAAGGAAATCAAGGCATAGTTTAGCTATGCCAATACTAAAGTGTATGAAACTGAGTTGGTTTCAGCATCAATTACTCTATGTACTTATCTACTTATTAAATAGATTAACCTTCTGCCATAAGCAGCATTTTTTTCATCTTGATTTATTGACATATTTTGCAAAGAACGAATTTTAATTGCTGCTTGCAAATGTATCCCTTGGATCATAGACTAATGTTGCTGGCTAATGCAGATGGGCATGCATGCATATATTTCTCTCTCTTTATATGATTATATGCTTGACCTTTTAGTTGTGTAAAATGCATGCATGTCAATCTTTTTAGCTATGTTTTGCAGGATTTGCTGTTGAGTTTTTGGATCAAATTAGTTATCACGTGAATCCTACATTTTCCTTGGACTTGTCAGCATAGAAATAATTTATTCATTTGTTACTTATCAGATTTTCCTTTGTTTTCTTTTACCAGGTATGAGTGAGCTAGATGTCACTGAATATCGGAAAAGCTTAGCAATAAGGGTTTCCGGGTTTGATGTACCAAAGCCAATAAAGAACTTTGCAGATTGTGGGTTTTCTAATATGTTAATGAATGCTATTGCAAAGCAGAGTTATGAGAAACCAACTCCAATCCAATGCCAGGCTCTACCAATTGCTCTCTCCGGAAGAGACATTATTGGTATTGCGAAAACAGGTTCTGGCAAAACAGCTGCTTTCATACTTCCAATGGTCGTTCACATAATGGATCAACCTGAACTAAAAAAGGAAGAAGGCCCTATTGGTGTCGTATGTGCTCCTACAAGAGAATTAGCACATCAAATATATCTGGAGGCAAAAAAGTTTGCAAAGCCACATGGTTTGCGTGTTAGTGCTGTCTATGGTGGAATGTCCAAACATGATCAGTTAAAAGAACTGAAGGTTGGCTGTGATATTGTTGTTGCTACTCCAGGTAGGCTTATAGACATGCTGAGGTTGAAGGCCCTAACAATGTTGAGAGCTACTTACCTTGTTCTTGATGAAGCTGACCGGATGTTTGATCTTGGGTTTGAGCCACAAATACGATCAATTGTGGGTCAGATAAGACCAGATAGGCAAACTCTACTTTTCTCTGCAACCATGCCTCGCAAAGTTGAAAGGTTAGCTAGAGAATGCCTCACTGATCCTATTAGAGTCACAGTCGGTGAGGTTGGGATGGCTAATGAGGACATTACTCAAGTTGTTCATGTAGTTGCTTCTGATTCCGAGAAGATGCCCTGGCTTATCGAGAAGCTTCCTGGACTGATTGATAATGGTGATGTCCTTGTCTTTGCATCAAAAAAGGTTACTGTGGATGAAATTGAATTGCAGTTAATTCAGAAAGGTTTCAAGGTAGCAGCACTTCATGGTGATAAAGATCAGGCATCCCGTATGGAAACCCTGCAGAAATTCAAGTCTGGAATTTATCATGTTCTGGTTGCCACTGATGTTGCTGCTCGTGGACTGGACATCAAATCAATCAAATCGGTAGTTAATTTTGATATAGCTAGAGATATGGATATGCATGTTCATCGTATTGGAAGAACAGGTCGTGCTGGTGACAAAGATGGAACTGCTTACAGTCTCATTACACAGAAGGAAGCACGTTTTGCGGGTGAGCTGGTGAACTGTTTGATTGCTGCTGGGCAAAATGTATCTAATGAACTTATGGATCTTGCTATGAAGGTAAAGTTTACTAATTAGATAGTAGTAATGTTCAATTCCTTTATTGTGGCAGCATAATTCCAGCTTCTTCTTTTTATTTTGTAATCTCGTATGTTGTTGTGAGGTTATTTTTTCAAATCTACTTGTGTTCTGTTGGAGAATCTCTTTCGCATCTATGTGAATAGATTTCCAAAAAACTAGAACAAGAAGGATGAATTTGCTGCCGTTGAACTCATCTTTTAGCTACCTACCAAATACGTTGGTTGAAAAATAATTGTCTATTTGAAGGTGTTGATGTTGCGCTTTTTTCTTCTTGAAGTTGATCACATTTCTGTTTAAATTTCTTAGGATGGAAGGTTCAGAGCAAGACGTGATGCAAGGAAAGGTTTGTTTATATAATTGAATCATACATAAGCAGTTCTACGCTTGTGATGGTTTAATGCATCAGAAACTCTTTATTCATCAGTCTAATTTCATCATCCTTGGCTTAACATGAATTATTACTCAGGTGGAAAAAAAGGCGGTAGAGGGAAGGGTGGCGGAGGAGGACGTGGCGTTCGTGGTGTTGACTTTGGTTTGGGTATTGGTTATAATCCCGAGTCAACAAGTACTTCTCAGACTGCTGCTCCAAGTAGATCTGCTGCTGTTAATTCTCTGAGGACTGGGATGATGGCACAGTTTAGAAGTAACTTTGTTGCCGCTTCTTCTAATTCCCAAAATGATGTTAGTAGAGCTTCAAGACCATTGTTGCCTGGTTTTGTTTCTGGTGGTTCCATTGGTGGAGAAACATACAAGGCACCACAGGCAACCTCAATCTCTGCTGCTGCTTCTTTGGGAGGAAGTTTTGTTGAAAATGGAAGTCAGAAGAAGGCTGAGAGGTAGATTCGTCATGCTATTGTATTTCCTTCTAATTAACCATTTGTTTTTTTTGTTCAATTTTTCGGAAGTTTTGCTGCAGATCGCTAGAAATTTTTTTAGTTTAGTATATTTTACAATGCCAATTATGCGACTCTGATCATTTCATTTTCTTTAATTCTGCAGCTCCCATGATAAACCAAGGGAAAGGAAACGGCCTTCTGGGTGGGATCGATAGATTTCAACGTGTAATATGATAGATATTGTTATGGAAAATAACATCTTGTATTCTTGATTTTTCTGAGTGAGCTTATGTAAAATCTATGTCAACATATCAGTTATTTATTTAATCCAATGAGCTATCTTTACATGCTGATTTTTTATTAGACATATTAGACATTTTGAGGCCGCATATTCGATTACATCTATCCAAAATGATATAGGGAAGTTGCCCCGCGTAGGGATGGTCTCAACAAACTCACCATTTTGCCCTTCCCCAAGGGGTGGCAAAACTTATCCTCTATGCAGCAAAAAAATATGGACACAATAATTGAAAGGTACCGGCTATTGAATGTATGTGATAGCATATCACAAATGAACAATCACACAATATGGAAAATAGCATAACGAAATTGTAGAGTATAAAAAATCTCAAAACCCAATAGCAGCGCTTGTTTGCATAATGTGGCAAGCTCGAAAAGATACTAGATATTGCTAGCATAAGTCACACAAAATCAATTGAGCCAACAACAGGTTCAACAAATAATGCCTGAGTATAAGCTAACAACAGATCCAATGAATTGAGGCAAATTTGAGAAAAATAAAGAGAGAATAAATGGGCTTGAAAAAAACATACCCTTTTAGATCTAAATTTATCTGTGGATGATACTCAACCTTATTATACATGTAACATGTGAGTAAGAGTTGGATAATGATGTGAGATTCGAGAGAGTTTGTAGAGTATGAAAAAGAGTTTTGAAATCCATATTAGTCTCACAGTAAATAGTAGAAGATTCAAAAGATCCATTGCTTCCTCACTCTTTCGTTATAGGGTTTTGGAGGGGGGGGGGGGGATTTATGGGAAAACCCCTGGGGGGGGGGGGGAAATATGGGCAAAGCCCTTGTATTGATAACCAAAAGAATTACATGTGTGTTGCTATACAAGAGATAAGAGACATATGAGAAGCTACAAAAAATGAGCAAGATTAAAAATAAAAAACACAAGCTATCTCCCAAAAATACCACAAAAACCAAATCAAAGATATGGCCAATACATTCGGATAAAAAAATATTAAACATGCCTGGACTTAAGAATTAGAAAGATAAGAAGCAAAGATGAGACAAAAAAACATTCCTGTTTGCCAAGAGACCTTCCAAGGGATGACACTCAGTGGAGGAAGGAGTCATCATCATCCAAGGAAAAAGAAAGACCTTCCAAAAAGCTTAGAATCAGATTCACGAAGGCAGCATAAGAAAATCAACAGCACCATACCAGCAAGCAAAAAATGAAAGAGCAGAGCCGCAAGAGAATAGTTTCCTGAAACCACCCATGTAGATAGAATAGTAAGAAGAAAGAAAGGGACCCAGAATCAACCAAAAAAACCAGATAGTTAAGAAGACCAGGGCACTCTAAGGCCTTCCCCAAACTTCCAGGTCAAAACTTTCCTATCCATTGCTAATTTAATAAGAGAACATAAGGTAGAAGTACTCCTAAATTTAGAATTAAAGTGTCTTTCATTTCTTTCCCTCCATAGAAAATAAGTGGCACAACAAATCGTAAGCAAACACATTTTTTTATCTTTTACCAAATAGATCCTTCCCTCCAAAAACGCAAAAACCAGAGTGAGTCTCGGCTGCAACAAGAAGTCACCCAAACCAGGGATCAACTTCACCAACACAGTGAAAGCATAATCACATTCAAAAAGAAGATGAGAAGTGGATTCAACATGTATAAAACAAAGTGGACAAGATGGTTCAGTCACAATGTTCCTTTTTAGAAGCTCATCAACTGTTTTAAGCCCTCTATTCAAAGCAAGCCAAGTATAAATTAAATATTTCAATGCATAATGCTTGTACCAAACAAACTTAGACCAGCGAAAAGTAATATCATCTTTAAAGAAATCACTAATAAAGGTAGAGAAGCAAATTTTCTTTTTATCCTTCCAGGAGATGTAACTAGCATTATCATTAACAATAGGAAAGGAATCCAATAAATAATTCAAATCCACACTCATAATATCAGACAAATTCCAAGAATCTTCAACAATAAAATTCGAGACCTTAGCATAAAAGGGGAGAAGAGAACAAATGATGTTATTGAGAGAGGCAGAATAGAGAGCTGCCATTAAACCATAGGTCCCAAAGTATAGCCAACTTACTATTTGGAGTGATGGTGAATTGAAGGCTTAAAGAGATAATATTTGCCACCTTTTTATCTCATTCCAAAGCCTAGAAGCTTTGTTTTTAATAGGCAATCAAGGAGTACCAAATTTTGCATTCAGATAAGAGAAAAGAGGAGAGTTAGAATTATAGAATTTCATGATATGGGAGCTTCAATTAGCAAATTGAAGAGCCTAAAGATTAGGAATTCCCAAACCACCAAAGATCTTCAGTTTACACGTATTATGCCAAGCTATAAGATGCAACTTTTTGGCTTCCATATCTCCAAAGTAAAGGAATTTAGCATACATTATGCCTGATTTCTTTAGACAAGATTTAGGTATAATTGAACCCCTGATCCAATAAGCAATCATATTCCAGATAATGCATCTAACAAATTGAAGATGCTCTGCTAGAGAGAGGAGTCTTGCTTTCTAACCAGCCAAAAAATTAGAGATGGAGTGTAAAAGAGGTTAAAAGTCTATAGAATAGTGTTTCTTAATAGAAATGGGGATAGCATGATAAGTCATCTTATAATAATGATCTTAAGAGCTGCACAGACTTCCATAGGGGATGAGATACAATTGGAGATAATAAGTTTGCTTTTATCATGATTAACCTTCAAGCTAGAAATATCAGAAAAAGCATTCAAAATATTCATAATAATCTCACAGTTGTGATAACTAGCCTCTCCAAAGATGAGGAGATCATCCACATAAAGAAGATAAGTGAGGTGAAAATCTTCAGAAGAAATACCTACAAATCTATCTTGAGAATTGTGGTTATCAATCATGCAAGCAAAGACATCCATAATAATGCAAAGAGGTAAGGGCTTAAAGGGCAACCCTGTCTAAGGCTAGAGGTGGATTTGAAATACACCTCCAATGCACCATAAATGCAAATAGATAATTGAATATTAGAAATGCAAGCTTTGAACCAATAAATAAAAGAGGTCGAAAACTTTTTTGACTCATTCTGGCAAGGAGAAAGTCTTTAGAGAGTGAGTCAAAAGCTTTTTTGGATATCAAACTTAACACAAATCAATTTTTCTTAGCTGACTTTTTGAATTCCAATAACAGTTCAGATGCTAAAAAGACATTGTCTGTAGAAATATCATCCTTAATGAATCCATCTTGATTTTTATCAATGATAAGAGACATAATATCCTTAATTCTAATAGCCAAAATTTAGAGACGATCTTGTAGAATACATTACAAAGGACAATAGATATGAAGTTTGAGACATTAGTGGCATGAGAGGTATTCTCAATGGGTTGAAGGCTAAGAGGAGGTTAGAGGGGGATGAGGTTTGGAGGGACATATATCAGTTGTATGCATTATTGAGCCACAATAATAAACATGAATTAGTTTCTATTCATATTATATTTTAAGCTCGAAGGACTCTCCAAGAATGTTGATGGTAATAGTTTCTAGATAAGCACAATCCTTGGTGACTTGAACACAAACCCTCGCATAGGTGAGACGGGTTTTTTCAATAGTCAAATTCTCCATAGACAAAGGAATCCCAATCGTGCAAGCAATACTAGAAATCCCTTCTAGAAAGAAATTGGGAGATCAAGGATTTTAAACCAAATGGGAATGGTGGTGAACTCATCTCTTTTAGGTTTAAAGTTAGGAACCCATTTCTGAAGCACAAACAGATTTCCTAGGAAGAACCAAACACCCCTAGACAATGCCATTTCATAGTCTTCAAGTGAAGTAAATTTTAGCATGAAGAAACCATTACTAAGAGAAATTTACATCATTGTACCTTTCAGCTTCCAAGACATACATATACCCAAGAGTAAAGATTCATAATACGACCGCCTCCAATGAAGTATCCAACTAGCGACATACCTTTCTTCCATCACATCTTTAACATGTGATTCGTTAAAATTGAGGGGGTCATCTAGAGAGGGAGGGGGAGAAAGGGAGAAGGCATTCCCAAGGTTTCTAGGGGCATAAATAATGTTACTCAAGTTTAACGCAGGGGGGAAGAAGATGGAGCATAATTGTTTGAGAGAGGGGGGAGATCTTAGGATGAGGAGAGGTTGTCCATGGAGGAGAAGAAGGCCCTATGGTAGAGCCAATGAAGGACAGAGGGAGGTCAGGATCAGGACAGCTAGGGCATCATAAAACCTAGCTAAAAAAGAAGAAGAATGATGGGTACTTTTATTAGGATCCGGGCTATCTCTTTTATTACTTTCTTCTTGGGAATATAATTTTTTTTTTAAAATCAACTATTTTATTTTTAGGGTAGTTGGGTACTTTTATTTTTGTAAATATAATTTATTAGAGGGAAAAAATATTTATTGATTTATCAAATAAAAAAATTAATTAGTTATAAAAAAATACGAGTCGGATCGTGAGCTTGCGAGTCAAGCCTCAATAAGCTCAAACTCAAACTTGTTTAATAAATGAGCTCATGTTTTAGATCGATTTCGAGCTTGTGGCTCGATAAGGTCAGTTCACAAGCTTGTTATCAAGTTGAACTTGACTCGGATCGCAAGCCAACTTACGAGCTGGCTCGGCTCACTTCCTAACGGGAATAGAGGGAGTAAATTGGGGTTTTAAATAAATTTTTTTAAAAATAAAAATAATATAATATAAATGCTAACTAACAAGAGTATAAATTATCAAATAATCTCAAAAACTTGTAAATGATAAACTAACATAATGCAAGTAAAAAAAAAAGTATGAACAATATTATTTTACAGTTCATGTAGCTCGAACAACAATGTAGCATATGTCCAAACTAGTCAACTCTTGGACTAGAAATCCACTAAAAGAAAATATTTAACATAATATTTAAATAAAAAAATTTACAATCGAAATACTCTTATACACATATCTACAACCCAATCTAAGTAAAAAATGAACTTCACCAAGCCAAATAGCTTAGATTTAAATAAAGTATAATTTATTGTATATGATACGAGCTCAGAATATTTTCCAATTAAATGATCAAGATATTTGAAGTGGTTTTATAATGTAC